TTTTTAAAAGAACAATAATAATAATAATAATAATAATAGTAATAATAATAATAGTAATAATAATAATAATAGTAATAATAATAATAATAGTAATAATAATAATAATAATAATAATAATAATAATCATACTAATAATAATAATAATAATAATAATAATAATAATAATATCATAACATTAACTACTATTAACTAATATTAACTAACATCAACTAATAACATTAACTAATATCACAATATTAACTAACATAAACTAACACTAATATTGACTAATATTAACTCATTAACATAAACTAATACTTACAAAAATAACTAACAATAACAATAACAATATAACAATATTATTAACAATTACATAAACTAATACTAACAAAAATAACTAATAATAACAACAATAACAATAACAACAACAACAACAACAACAACAACAACAACAACAATAATCATAATCATAATCATAATCATAATCATAATAATAATAATCATAACAAAAAAAATAATAATAATCATAACAAAAAAATAATAATCATAATAATAAAAATAATAATATTAATCATAAACATACAAAAAAAAAATGACAAAGGCACATCCGCCCAAAATATCCGGAAATTCCATGGAGGATCCGCCTAAAATTTCCGGATCCTCCATGGAGGATCCGGAAATTTTAGGCGGATCCTCCATGGAATTTCCGGATATTTTGGGCGGATGTGCCTTTCTCTAAAAAAAAAAAAAGAAATTTCTACGACTTACAGTTCTTCCAAAGATGCCTCCGGCGTACGATCGTCGTCGTTGTTCATCGTCCAAAACCCGTCGCTAAACCTTGATAACATTTTTTTTTAAGAAATTTAATATTTTCGGTGGTGGGCTCAGGAATTTTGGGGCTTAGGATTTTTTTAATGCTAGTTGTGGGTTAAAGTTCTCCAGATTAAATTAAGAGTCTTGGTATGTTAAGTGACAAAGTGGTGGAGCCTTATATAGGTCAAATTCACACAAGGGCAAACGGTAATTTCACATTTAAATGGGAGCGTCACCATGTAAATTGGGAGCGTCGAATAGCAGTTCACTTATTCTTTTCTGAGCCTACAAACTTAATGGAAGCATCAGAACATATTAGCTTACATATACATGATACCGCTCAATTTTCACTAAAAGAGCAACTATGCTTAAATTCTAATCAGCCTATAGATACATAATACCTCCCACTTTTCACTAAAAGAGCAATCATGCTAAATTTTTAAACATTTTACATGAAGACTAATCAACCAACAACATACTATATACAACACATCCTTTGGAAGGGGTGAATTAGAAGTTCTGCTAGCATACTGAAGGAATTATACCTGCCTAAATCAAGCTACATTTTGGTCAACCAACAACATCATAATGTAATGTATCAATAATCAATATCATGTTAAATGGTGTGCAATGACCCCTTCCCATTTTCAACATCCAATTCTCCAAAGCTCCAAACACATAACACAAACATGAACTGATGGAAGGTGATGTTGGCAGGGGAAATGTCTCCCCTAAGAACTTTGGGTCTAGTCAAGAGCTATGTGCATAAAAATAATACTACATACTCTGTTAGTGTTTAGCCTGTGTTTAAGCATTGTTAATAATCTTACGGCAATCATGCAAGTGAGATAGTAATTAGAAATACCAATTAATTCATAGGGCTACTTACTAGTTACAACACTTTAAATCGAAAAAATTATAAATTTAAATGCCAAAAACTTTTATTAATATTGAATTTCAATTCAATCAAACAAAACTTAAATTTAAATAACAATCAAAATTCTAATAACCAATTTTGATACATCCTATATCAAGCATTAAATTACAAAATATTGATTTACAAGAGTTTTTAAATTGGCTTGATTAAAGGAGATGTCAGACAAAAAAAAAATGCAATTTTAACCCACAAAACCCAACAGTAAGCAAATCAATACTAATATAAAGTTCACAAAATCAAATTTCAAAATGCAATATAAAGTAGTTGAAAAGTTCACAAAAACTTTCAACAATTCCATGCATAGTAGGGAAAAAAATGAATCCATTTTAGCGTCAAATACAATTTCTTGTACCAAAAAATTCCATCCGAAGTATGATTAATATAGCAAAAACAGAATTCATCCATTAAAATTAATATACTAAGAGAACGACACAAAATCAATTTTTTATACAACAACATCTTTCCACCATATATTTTAAAGACCCAGAATAAATATCAACAAATTTGTCGGAATCAAAATTTGATTTAAGTTAGAATCTAAATTGTAATTTGAAAAATAATTATAACAAATTATTTTTCTAAAAAAAAAACTAACCTTTATTATGACGAAGATATTGAATAAGAAACTTGTAGCAATTGATTTTCAAAATTAAGCAATCGTCAAGAGCACTGCAAGGAAGTATAAATTAGAATGTATTTTGTGGTTTGGAATTTCAGAATTAGGGAGAGGAAAAGAATGGAGAGGGGAAGAAGAAAAGGAAGAGATCAATTCCAAATTGGAAAATTTCTTAATTTCGAAATTACGTGGCGAAAAATGGGACTGCATCTCTTCAATAAACTTTGAATATGTACCGCACTTCAAATCTTTCAAAATACATTTCGTTTGTATAGATACAAGTATAAAATATGGAAACATTATATACAAAGTAGTTAGATTGAGAGAAGCCAAAGGACACCAATGAAAATTGTTGTTGTATTTTTGATAATGGGCTTAGTTCTGTAGAATTAGATTTTTGGGTTGAAGTCTTGAAGATGCACCGATTGGAGTAGAAGACCCCAGAAGTTAGTTTTTTTTTACGACGACAACAACAACAACAACAACAACAACAAAAAATCTAAGTTTTAGTTGGTTTTTTAGGTTCGCCCCGAAAAGCACGCACGACCCGACCATTATGGGCGGGTTTGGGCACAAAAATTCTGGCCCGAATCTTGGCCAAACCCGGCCCGAGAAGTGGGCATAATTTTTTTAGCTTCGACCCAATCCGGCCCGCCCAATGATCACTTCTATCATTTGGGATGAGAGTTGGAAACTGAAGTTTTCAGTAAGTATTATTGGAGGATATTAAGATTCATAATAAACATTGAAAGAGTTTTCCTAAAAAAAAAATAAAAAAATAAACATTGAAAGAGTACATTTATCCAAGGAAATGAAAAACTAATTAACTATATGATGAAAAGACATAAATGAAAATGTTTCATTTAAATTAATTAATAATAAAAAAAAAATATGTAACTACAAATGGATATTAGGGAGATGCCATGTGACACTTTGTATGACTTGTAAAAGTTTTTGTTTTAAAATATTAGTATAGATATATATTTATATATTTTTTGAAAGGAGTATATATATTTATTTATTTATTTAAAACCCTTATAAAGCCCACCCCGTCCATAATTAGACGATCATACAAAGACCAGCATCATATATTTATTAGACGGATCTAACCCATATTACAACTGTGTCGGGTCATGGCTTTTGATAGGGCTCCAAGGCCTCCATTCCTACCTCTCTCCTCTCAGTTATTTCATTGAAGCGCACTCAACGTTCTTCATTGAAGCGTTCTCCGTTGAATCTAATTCTTGTATCCCCCCATTGAAGCAACTTCTAAGGTAAGTTTTGTTGTTGTTATCATCGTATCAATTTCACATATCAATTTCCATTGAATCAAATATCCCTAAAATTATGTATTTTTCGAGATAATTGAATATGAAATAAGTTCTCTTTTCCCTGGGCCTAGGGCGGCCGCCCCTCCTGCCCTGCCTCAGGGACAGGTGTGGAGCCAATATGGGTTCAAGTGGGTTCATTAAACCCACTGATTTTTTGAATTTTTTTTATAAAAATACAAAAACTGGAAAACGGTTAAAAGGAATATCTGTGTAGCGAATGTTAAGAAGTAAAGGTACAGCTCAGTGGTTTTTTTACCTCACATTGTATATGAAATTATGAGTTCGAATTCCATTACTCACGGTCACACTTTAGGGGGTGTTTGGTACGGGATTTTTGTAGGCTTGGAAACGGAATCAGATACCGTTTCCGTTAGAATCTGTTTGGTTGAGGAGTAAAGTAACAAATCACGTTTCTTAGTGGTAACCCATTCCACTACTTTTTTTCCGGTAAAAAAACTAGAGAAACAAATCACGTTTCTCTCCTCTAACCCAAAAAACACACACATCTCAGCCTTTTCTCTCTCTTCTCTCTCATCTTTTCCGACTTCTCATGCGACATTCTCCCAAAGAAATGTCAAAGCCCTAGATTTCGCTCCTTGGTTGAAGCTCCAGATTTCGTTCCCAAATTATCAAAGCTCTAGATTTCGCTCAAGTTAGGTATGTTATCTCAAAACCCTAGATTTTGAATTGTTGTTGAATTTATAAATCTTTCTATTTGATTGATTGTATATTTTGATTTTTCTATCTCGAAATACATGATTGATTGCAATATTATTTGAGTTTTATCTATATTTTCGTTTGAATGTTTGATCTATTTATTGATTGCTATTTTCGATTTATGGTGTTAATTTCTAGAGTTTTTTTCCCTAATTTTTCTGATTTATTTGAGTTTTAAATTTTTCAATTGAATTTTTTGCTTTTTGCTTCATGATATTGAGGTGTTACAGACCGTGAAACCACACGATTTGAGTCGTTGAAGTTTTGATACCATGATTTAAAATACATGTCATAAATCTCATAATCATTGTAGAAGCCAAAATTCTGCAATGCCAGAGTCGTACTGAAGCTTGATAAAAGTAAACAGCCATATATTTGTTCTTTGATATTGTATTTTAGAGCAATAATAATACATGTTGAGAAGCATCTTATCTATTTCTGTTGAATGTTTAGATATAAGGTTGCATAATTTGAAAATTTTTAAGCTGCATGATTTTGTTGTGGCACTAGAATCTTATCTATTTCTATTGAATGTATTTTTAAGGTTCTTGAAATGGCTCGTATTGGGAAAAAAAGAAGAGCAAAACAAGTTCAATTGGTTATTACAATGATTATTGTAGTTTTTATGCTGTTTTGGATTTGGTATTTGATGAGCGTTGTTACAATTAGAGGGGCTCAAATCAATGAAAGGAAAAGGAATAGGAAATTGTTACGCTCATTATTTTTGAGTCACTTAATAAGACAGAGTGATGTAAGCTGTAAAAGTGAGCTTCGTGTCAATAGACGTACTTTTAATATTATTTGTGAGATGCTTAGAGATATAGGAGGTTTAAGTGGAACAAGAAATATGACTCTTCAAGAGATAGTTGCAATGTTTTTGTACACATTGGCTCATCATCAAAATAATAGGTCAATTGAAAATCTCTTTTTAAGAAGTGGGGAAACAGTGAGTCGACAATTTAACCTATGTCTAAGGGCTATTTTGAAGTTGCATGAACACTTATTCCACAAGCCTATAGCGATATCTGATGAAAGGTGGCAACCTTTCAAGGTATAATTCCATTCATGTTCTTTTTTCTGTTAGATTTTCATGTAATGTATGTAAATGAGTCATATCTTTGTCTTTTATAATGTAGAGTTGTCTAGGAGCGCAAGATGGTACCTATATTAACGTAAGAGTGACTTCACAAGAAAGGGGAAAATATCAAACAAGGAAAGGCACAATTGCTATGAATGTTTTAGGTGCTTGTGCACCAAATATGGAATTTATTTATGTGCTTCCGGGGTGGGAAGGATCAGCCCATGATGTACGTGTCCTTCGTAATGCTCTCTCTAGGCCAAATGGTCTTAGGGTACCTCGAGGTAAATGGAATAGGTCTTTTGTTTTTTGTGAGTATAATTATAGTTGTTAGTAAGGTATCTAGTGATTATCTTATTTTGATTTTTGTGAAGGTAATTATTATTTGGTTGATGCGGGCTACACTAATTGCGACGGATTTCTCGCTCCATATAGGGGGCAACGATATCACCTTAAAGAGTGGACAGATAAACAACCTGAAAGTGCCAAGGAATATTTTAATATGAAACATGCTAGGGAAAGAAATGTGGTAGAGAGGTGTTTTGGTTTACTTAAAGGGAGATGGAGCATACTTAGGAGTCCCTCGTTTTTTCCTATACGCACCCAAGGTCGTATCGTGATGGCTTGTTGTTTACTACATAACTTAATTAGAAGAGTCATGCCTACTAATGATATAGAGGAAGAAGAGTTGAGTGAAGATTCCGATGATGATTTTGATGATGAACCTGAATATATTACAAGTGTTGCGACTTCAGATCAGTGGACCAATTTTAGAAACACACTAGCACAAGATATGTTTAATGGGTGGAGGGCAAGAGGTAGAAGAGTTTAGCAGTCAAGATCCTCGGTGTAGTGGGTTCAAATTACAAGATGTTGTTGCTGCATCACCTCATGTTAGAATACTTTTTAGTGCTAAGACCAAACTGTTAGAATCCTGTAACTTGATTTACTTACTTTTTTAGTGATATGTTTAATTTACTTATTTTTTTTGTGATAGGTTTAATTTACTTACTTTTTTCGAGTGCAATTACGGCATTGCTTCTTTAGTAATATGTTTAATTTACTTACTTTTTTCTAGTACACAATATGATACCTATACTCTTGCACTCATTGTCTTGATATATGTATATTTTCTCTTTGAAGTTGTATATGATGGGAGAAGAGGGAAGCAATCGAGGAAGAGGTAAGAATAAGCGTTTTTGGACCTTTGAGGAAGATACGGTGCTCATAAAATATTTACATGAGTTATCTCTCGATCCTAAATGGAAAAGTGAAAGTGGCTTCAAGAGTGGTTACATGAATAAGTTGGAAGAAATGATAAAATCTGTGCTACCTAATTGTGGCTTGAAAGCTGATCCACACATTGAGTCAAGGATTAAGCATTGGACAGAGAAATATAGTGCAATGGCAGAGATGTTATCTACTTCTGGATTTGGATGGGATTCGGACAAAAAAATGTTGCAAGTAGAGAAAACTGTATTTGATGAATGGGCTAAGGTAAGTAAGCTTTTTAATGTTCTTCATTTTTTATGATTTGAGTAGTTATTAAATTCATTTCAATAATGCTATTGTTGACGTTGTAATGTTGTTGCTTGAATGTTAGTACATATTGCTATAATTTTGTTTCCTACTTGCTGCTATATTCTATGGGCTTGCTGCTCAAATTGTTGTTGCCTGTTATATTGTTGTTGTTGCTGTGTTGTATTGCTGCTATTGTTATTCTGTAGTTTCCTTGTAGCTGCAGTTCTATTTGCCCTAAAACATATATTCCATTCGTTTTTAGCCCTTAATTCCTTCATCAAAGTTATAGATCTCGAAAAGTTATTCAATTTAGGCTCAAGAATTTCTTGATTTGGAATTTTGTGCTAGGAATTATGCCTTCTGGAAGTTTTTGTGTTCTGCTGCCTTGGTTATATCGCAACGAGGATGTTATTATTCATTTTATAGCGGCAAGCATTGTTGCATTATCTTTCTTTTTTGTTTCCCTATTCTCTTTGTAGCCTTATTGATGGATTATTGTAGAATTTCCCTTCACTTGCTAATATGAGTATTTGAAACATATATTTGTATGAGTTATTAAAGTATTGTATTTGGTATTGTATGAGAATATCACTTTCTTGATTTGGTATTGTATTTTGCATGCCTATCAAACTGAATTCAAACTATATTTATCAGTTTGCAGACTATTTTACAGGACTATATTTATCAGCATAATAAGAAAATGAAGTTGATTAAGGATTTGTGTACATTGCAGGCTCACAAGAAAGCAAAGGGGTTGTATGGACTACCCTTTCCTCATTATGAGACACTTGCTGAAATCTATGCAAAAGATAAAGCAACCGGAGAAGTTAGTGAATCATTTGTTGGAGCTATTGATAACATGAATGTTGAGATTGCAAATCAGTCTATGACAATAGAGAGTGACGAAGACGGTTATATGGATTCTCCCACTCATTCTACCCATTCCACTCAATCAACAACTTAATCCCATAAGCGGCCAATGAAGAAAGAGGATGATAATACTCCTTCCAAGAAAGCAAAGATGAAAGAAATGAAGGGAAAAGGAAAGACACATCAAAAGGTAGATGATGCTAATGAGTTAGTAGCTTCTCTTCATAATACATCTAAAACTTTTGGGAAAATTTTTGAGGACATAAATGCAAATCTTGGAACTATGGCAAATTCATGGTCCAAAGCCGAAGAAAGGGAGCAAAAAATGGATGATGAAGTGAATAAGGTGTTAGAAGAAGTTATGAAATTAGATGGTGTTTCTCCTTCGGAATCTTTAGAGGTGACAACAATTCTCATGGCCGAAAAACATAAGCTTCGAATCTTTTTTCAAGCTCCAACTAACTTGAAGAAACAATATGTTTTAGATCTCCTTAAGAAAAAGTAGGTGGAAGTATTGCTAATCATCTACAATGTATAGCCTCTGAAACTTTAATTAAGGCTTATTGGTGCTAGAACACCATATTTTGTTCTTAAATTTCAGAATTTTGTGGTATACATTTGTTTGGTTTCCTACAAAAAGTACTTGTTATGCTATGATATAATCAGTTTAATATTATAGCTAACTTATTTTTATGGTATTTTAATAATGGTATGTAACTTGATCAAGTAAAATTGCTCGTATATTAAATAGCAAAAACTTCCTATTATAAGTAGTTGCATTTTCAAATGATTCCTTTCCATTAGGTAGACCAAACAAAAACAAAGGGAGTAAAGTTTAATTGATTCCTTTCCATAATTAAACCAAACAAATGTAAAGATAATAGCTAAATGATTCCTTTCCCTCCTCTTATTTGTTTCCTTTTCACTCCGTTTTCATTATCCGAACCAAACGTCACCTTAATTTTTTTTTTTCCTTTTGGTTTCTACATTACTGTTTATCACGAGCAGTTTTCCGCTTTTCCCCCAAATTCTAAAACCCTAACTCCCCTAAATCTCGCCAATCGCCGCCCTCCGCCCGCCGCCTGCCGCCCGCCGGCCACCTTTTAGTCCGTGACTCCGTGACGCATTCCGCCTTTAGTCGTCCTTCACCGGCCACCTTCGTTCAATCAATCAGTTCGTGACGCTTCAGTCCTTCAACATACCGCAATCGCATACGGCACTTCGTTCAATCGGCTCACGGCGGCACGGCCTCTACCAGTCGACCTGGTGTCTGGTGAGCTTGCCTTTCCGGTTTCCTTTCATGCTTATTGCTGCCTTGCTGTGAATCTGTGATTGTGAATGCTCAATGCGAGTATGCGATAATGCTGTCTTTCTGTCTTTCATAATTTCATTGTTGTCAATTGTCGAAAACTCGAAATTGTCTAATTGTGATTTGTGAATGTTATTGAAATTGTCTAATTGTAATTTGTGAATGTTGTGATTGTTGTCGAAATTCAGAAATTGTCTAATTGACTAATTGTGACTGACTGAATGTTGTCTTTTAGTTTTAGTCTAATTGCATTTGTTGTCTTGTTGAATTGCTGCCATGTGCCTTGCTGCCTGTGACCTTGAGTGCCTGACTAAGTGACTAGTGCCTTGCTGCCTTTATTGTCGTATTGAGTTATTGGTAAATGATTATTGCTAATTTGATTGGGAATTTGAGATATAATGATATATAATGTAAAATTGTAGATTGTGCCATTGTGGTATAGTGATATTTAATCAATTTGAGATATAGTGATATATAATGAATTTGAGATATACTCAAAAAATGCTTCTGTAGTTTTATTTTTTCATTTTTCTATGTGTAATCTATTTGTAATTCATAATATGAACTTATGTACTTAATTTTTAATTATTATATTTTCATCCCTTTGTTAATTATGATTCCGAACTTCTGAAGTTTCGAACCCACACTTCGCAAATCCTGGACACGCCACTGCTCAGGGACGGGCCTGAATGTATACCTGATTAATTCAATATAATTGGAAAGGAATGCGCTTTTTGTTTATTTTGTACTATGAAATTACTTTGTTTATGAAATTGTATAAAAGCCATTACAGGATGATCTGTTCAATGACAGATTGCTTTGGTTTAAATTTGGTTTAGGGTTTTGGTAGTTTGAATTGATAACACAATGAGAAAGGGATCGAATTCCCGTGGTGGTCGTAGCGCTTTTAGGACTTTACAACAACGCTTGGGGGATTGCAGCCGTTTTGAGAGTGAGGAGGATGCTGTGAGATATGTACGTAAGACTTATCCGGAGTACAGGAGGAAGAAAGACGTAATACTCACCAAAATTGTTAGGGAGGCCCTTTTCCCGCGTAAGCGGAATGATAGTAGTGGCGGTAGAGATGTTCAAGTGCAACAATCGACATCGACTTCAGCATTATCATCTTCATCCCTTGATTCAAGTTACGAGGAGGATTCTAGTCCGAAGTTTGACTTGATGAAAACAATGTTGAGGGAAGCCTATTGTCAGGATGGATATGAACCTGATAAAACAGAAGAGAGTACGGAGGCGAAAAATGAGAAAAATATAGTATTATTAGAAAAGGATGAGATGGAGAATATTGTGATGCTTGAGAAGACTGGAGGAATAGGAAAGAAAAATATGGAGTTAGATGACGGTAGAGATCAGGTGCACGCGCATCCCATGTTTAAGGATTTTGGTGGCATGCGTGAAGTATTGGAGGAATTAAAATACAATGTGCTTATCCCACTTCGTTACCCTGAACTCCTCAATCGGCTGTGTCAATTACATGCAGGGCCACCAACAGGAATTTTACTGCATGGGCCTCCTGGGTGTGGCAAGACCATGTTGGCTCAAGCTATTGCTAATGAAGCCGGCATTCCTCTGTATCAGATTGCATCGACTGAGATTGTATCTGGTGTATCAGGTATGTCATGTCAGAACTAGCTTATACTACGTATGTTTTTGATATATTTTGTGGCCTTTAAAGGCCTACTATTGTTGGTAAGAAGGGAGAGAATGTGGATGAAGGAGGGTGAAAATGCACATTGCTTGCGAAATTTCTTTGTTACCGTTCATATTTGAGTTTTTTTTTTTTATTTAAATGGGTCATAGGATGGTAATTTTGCCACCTTCTTAATATGTCGTAAAGTTAATGAATGGAGTAGAGCATCCAAAATTTCATATTCTTGGCCTACCGTCTTTTCAAATTACAAATTAGGGTTGGTTAAAAGGTTTTTTTAAAGAAGAAAGGCTATTTGACATTGCTTATGGTGTCGGCAGTGTGTTGTTGTGCACCTTAGGCCATCATCTTAAGGCTTCACACCTTCATGATGTCTTCTTTGGCTTTGCTTATGATGGTAAATGATATCTATGTTAGAATTTACTATAGTAGTACTTGATGTTGTGGCTCCTTGTGTTTTCATATTGAAGGTGAGTCAGAAGGAAACATCCGTGAGCTTTTCTTAAAAGCTCGTAGGACTGCTCCTTCAATAATATTCATTGATGAGATTGATGCCATTGCGGAGAAAAGAGAGAGCTCGCAGAAAAGGCAAGAAGGGCGAATTGTCACTCAGTTATTGAAATGCATGGATACTATATGTGAGAATGCTTCTGTAGCTGGTCAAAAGAAATCTGTGAGTGAGAGTAAAGTACATTCATCTCCAGCAGTTCCGGAGATTTCAGTTTCTGAGAACAAACAAGGCCATGTTCTTGTTATTGGAGCAACCAACCGCCCCAATGCTCTTGACCCTGCATTAAGGCGACCTGGAAGATTTAACTGGGAGATTGAACTAGGAGTTCCAGATGAAAATGCAAGGTTTGAGATACTTTCAGTCTTGACACGTGATCTTTGTGTTCAAGAGGGTTTGAACCTTAGAAAGTTGGCTAGGGACACAGCAGGGTTTGTTGGGGCTGACCTGGAAGATTATGTTAGGAAAGCTTCTGTACATGCTATGAGGAAGATGATAAACTTTAAGAAGGATGAGGGTCTTAAGGAGTGTGCAGTTGGGCCCTAAGATGACGGTTGGTGGAAGCAACTACGTTTTATGCCTGGAGAAATAGAAACACTCTGCCCCAAAATGTCAGATTTTGAGGTAATACAATGTCAGCTTGAACTTTACTGTAAATGTTTTCCTAAGTGTAAAAAAAGTTTTGTTTCATTGTAAAATTTGCTACTTTTGCCATTTATTGTCATGAAATATTATTAGTTTATGGATTTAGGTGCTTTTCCGAGTATGTTGATGTTTTTTTCCTCCTGGACTATGTATTGATTTAGGTTGCAGGTAAGAATGTTCAACCATCTTTAAAGAGGGAAGGTTTCTCTACTGTTCCTAATGTGAAGTGGGAAGATGTTGGAGGCCTTGGCACCATAAGGCAGGAGTTCCAGAGCTGTATAGTTGATCCTATTAGAAATCCTGAAGATTATGAGGTAATTAATTATACTACTATTTTTTTTCAAGTTTTCTAGTCTTGTCAAATTTATTAGTTTGATTACAGCGTTTATGTTTATTAGATTGCACGTACTCTTAACCTACACACATTTGACTGTTGAACTTCTGTGATTGTTCTTCTATTTTTAATTTTTTAATTTTTTTTTCTAATAGTTCTTAGTTGACTTGTTTTACGTAGTCATTGTTTCTTCAATATCTGTAATCATTAAAGTGTGTAATATGTGATTTTGTGTTTTGCAATCACTAAAATTAATGTGGAGTAGCATTCTAGACTTTGTTATTCGAGAATTACTGATAACTACTTTATTGAGTTGTTGTCAATTAGAATAGGCTTCATGCTACCATTAGTTTGTTATGCAATATTTATTTATTTATTTAAATAATCGTGTGCAATGTGCAGTTTGTATTTTCCATGCAGTTTCTTATTGGATAAATGTAATTCGTTTTTGGTTACTTAGGATTGCTGCATGTGTAGCAATGGTTTACCTTTTGTCTACTTTCTATTTAGGCCCCGTATGGTTTGATGTTAAACATTTTCAATGAAAATTTAGTTTTCATGGAAAACATACTTTTAAGGAAAACCACACTTAGCTAGATAGTTTTCCTTTGTTTGGTTCTTACAAGAAAAGT